CCATTTCTTTCTTTCTTTGAGACAGGGTCTCTCTATGTCGCCCTGGTGGTTCTGGAGTTTATTATGTAAACTAGACAAGTCATGAAGTCACAGAGTTCTGCCTCTGCCTTTTCTTTTCCTTTTTTTAAAATTTACTTTTTTAAAATTTATTCTGTGTGTCTTTCACATCATGCATCTTGATCCCATTCATTCCCCTGTCCCTTCACATCTGCCCTTGACCCCTGCAACCCCCCCCCCGAATAAAAAAGTTTAAGAGAAAAAAAATAAAAATCTCATCATAGAAGTTGCAGTGTGACTCAGTGAGTCACACAGTTAACTCCTTTGTCCATATATCTTTACTTGCAAGTGTTCATTGCAAAGAGTCATTGGCCTGGTTCAAGGCTTCTGGTTTCTACTACATTATAGTTGCTGGGCCCTCACTGGGACTCCTCTTTGATGTCCTGTTGTTGTCCTGGACTGTGGAGGTCATGAAGCTTTAGGTCTGTGAGTCAGGCACCTTCGCATTCTCTAGCAGATCATAGATGGGGTGGATGTTGGGGAGGGCCAAGTTGTAACCTTGTTCTGGATCTCGGCAGCTGCAAGGTTGGTCAGTCTGCCAATTCCCCCCTGTCCTTACCACCAGGATGAGCTCTCCATCAGTGTCCCCCCTACTCATTCCAACCTCCCCAGGTGTCAATGGGTGGGTGGTGGGGAGATGTCTCTCCTCTGGCCATGCTGTCACATGTCAGGTGAGTAATAGGGACACCTCCCCTGCTCACAGCATCTTGGCTGGGTCACTCACACCTCCAACAACAGAGTCAGCTCTGCTATGCTGCCTAGGTGAGGAGCAGGGAGGGCTGACTTTCCTGAGTGCTGCAGCTGGTAAAGGGGAAGGTCCACTCTCTCATCTGTTGCGGAGTAGGGGAAGGGGATGTTAAAGAATGTGCCAAGGGCATCTCTCCCCCACTCACGTGACAGATGAGTAGTGGGAACAGCTCTCCCTTGCTCACAGCCCCAGGACTGGCTCACCTACACCTCTGCTAACAGGGTTGGCTCTATTATGCCGCCCTGGTGAGGTGCAGGGCTTGCTCCCCCCAAGTGACGCAACTGGTGGGGGGTCACTGCCTCTGCCTTTCAAGTGCTGGGATTAAAGGCATGTACCATCCCACCCAGCTGTTGATAACATCTCTAAACTCAGTCTTAGCGCATCAAAACAATGTAGACAAATTCTTTGATACAATACAACATGTCTGGCTTCTATCCTCACTCCCAACGGAGTCTTTGTTCTCATCAAAACTTCATGAGGACCATCTTTGCTGTCTCCATTTGCACTGGCAGTCTGGTCTTCTTCTTTTTTTTTTAAAAAAAATATTTATTTATTTATTATGTATACAACATTCTGTCTGTGTGTATGTCTGCAGGCCAGAAGAGGGCACCAGACCTCGTTACAGATGGTTGTGAGCCACCATGTGGCTGCCGGGAATTGAACTCAGAACCTTTGGAAGAGCAGGCAATGCTCTTAACCACTGAGCCATCTCTCTAGCCCGCATTCTGGTCTTCCGAAAATCGATCAACACTGTTTTCTAAGCTCTACTTACAGCATCCCGCAAGTCCGCATCTCCACACTTTTCCAGATTCCCACACACACCGGTAGCAAAGACTTTGAACCCTTGATGATCTTGGGGCCACAGCAGCGTTCCCACTTTATGATGCCAGTTTTCTGTGCTAGCCAGACTTCTGTGGCTACGACAAAATACCCAAAAGGAAAAACTCGAAAGGAGGAAATATTTATTTTGACTTATGGTTTTAGGTCGTGGTTCCGTCCATGTTGAAATAGAACATGGGCATAACCTGTGGTTAAGTGACTGACCTCTTAGTGGACAGGAGGTAGCGGGGAGGAAAGGGACAAGATATTCTTCAAAGGTCTGCCCCACTGTGACCGACTTCCTCTATCTAGGCCTCATCTCCCAATAAAGCAATCAAATAAAGAATCAATTAACGGATGAATCCGCTGCGGAAGATAGAGCCCTTAGGAATTCCCAATGTTTACTACCCAGCTGTCAAGCATTTACCCTTGGGCTTTTGGGGGAAAACTCTTCATATCAAAATGACAACACTTGTTTTGTCAGCTTCCAGTCTTTTACGAGCATGATGCTAAGAGGAAAGGGAAATTATAAAATACGAGTGCAAGGGTGCAGCTAACCACAAAGAAAACTCAACACTGGGCTGACTTTAGAGAGAGTAAATTGGGACTTTTGTTTAAGTTCTCTAGAATATTGATGCAAATGCTGTGAGCCCCTAGAAGCTTCTCTGGAAGAAACTCTTCTTCCATTTTTTTTCCTCCACAAGTATCAGTAATGAGGTAATTCCTAATTCCAACCGTGTCCTTAAAAAATGGAGGCTCCTAAATCTGGAGAGATGGCTCTGGTCAACAGTGCTTGCTGTGAAGCCATGAGGATGGGAGTTCAAATCCAAGCACCTACGTTACAAGCAGGGCATCACATCCATGCCAATAACCCCAGCTCGGAGGGAGTTGAGACAGGAGCATTGCTGTGACTTGCTGGCCTCTAGGATAACCAAGAAAACATGAGTCTCAGATTTAGGGAGAGACCCTCCTCAAAGGAACAAGCAGAGCAAGAGAAGAGTCCACCCAGTGCCCTCTTCCAGCCCCTGTGCACACACAGACACACATAAGCAGAGAGATATGCACCTCCTCCTAGATGTTCACAGCCAAAACTGCTGCCTACAGAGCTCTCCTACAAAGACTGCCTCACCCCTTCCCCTACGCTGTACATAATAAACACACTGAAGTTCCAGGTTGCAGTGGTGACATGCAGACAATCCCACCCGGTCCCAGCTTCATTCTACTGGCGTCTATGTTTCAATGTCCTTTCTTCATTCCCTCATCACCCCTAGTCAGTGGTCCAGGACCCAAGCCCAGAAGGTTGAGTCACTAAGGATACTGAGAGTGATCCATGAAACTCTATAGTTCTTTTTTCTTGGAACTTTCTCTCTATAGCCTTGGGTTGTCCTGGAACTTGCTATGTAGACCAGGCTAGGCTCACAAAGATCCACCTGCCTCTGTTTCCCATGTGCTAGGATTAAAGATGTGCCCCATCATGCCTTGCTAAACTACACATTTTTTAGGCTTATGCACACCCTGTCCGACCCCCATACACACACACACACACACACACACACACACACACACACACACACAATTTTTTTTAACAAAAAAACGGATTGTAATATCGGCTTCATCAGACATTAACATTTATAAAAATGTTAGAAACTGGCACAGAAAACATTGAGACCAGGACTGCTGAGAGAGTTCAATGGTTAAGAGTCATCTTGCATAGGACCTAAATTTGGTTCCCAGCACACACATGGCATTTCACAGCAGTTCCATGAAATCTGCATGTACTAGGTGCACAAGTGGTGCACAGGCATATGCAGACAAACATTCATACATGTAAAATAAATGACTCCCTCCCGCAAAAACCCTAAAATAACCAAACAAAGTAAAACAACACACCCAGCATACTAATGTATCGTGCACATTGATGTACATGTAAGACTCATGTGCATTAAATTAGTAGTTTGCCCTTTGACACGGAGGGGTGGGTCTCACTTGTCAGAATTGAATGCAATATGCTTCTAATAAGAAAAGGAAGCCTCCATCAGTTACTGGAACTGTTCATAAATCTTCACCTTGAGTCATCCAGTGTTTGCTTATTTGAGATCTAATTATATCATGCCTCTTTGGAAGTCCTTTCTGAGCATCCCTTATATTGTTCAAAGGGGACCAAGGAAAAGAGAATGACCATTTAACCCACTGTAGTGGGTTGTAAGAACAGCAGCAGGCACAATGCATTTGGGCCATGAACTCTGCCTTTTATGCAAAAGGTTTCTTTCTAAGAACAAAATGAAAATTTAGTAGTAGAGGCCGCAAGCATTCCTGATATGTATACTACACTACTTTGGAATACAGACGCATTAAAGCAAAAGTAAGAATTTTTTTATCTTCTACTTGGATGCCCACAAAATCAAACACAGGTATGAAGCAAAGAAAAGTCAGGGACAGAGGGTGAGAGGAAGGGAGGAAGGGAGGGAGGGAGGGAGGGG